ATACTTTGAAAGAAGACCTTCTTGCAGCATACTCAGCCCCATCATCAGAGAGAGAAGCTACTAGCCATGTAGAACATCAAGATGTGAGTGAAGCTACTGGTACCATGCAACCTGATACAGCAGACCCTGAAGATTCAAAGCTAAGAGTGAATCAACAGAACATCGAGGTTCAGAGGAAAAGAGCAGTGGATGGTCAGCTTTCACAAGCTGAACGCATGGTCAAACGTAGTCGATTAGAGCATGTCGCTGGCAATCCGGTTGACAATGTGACCATCCCTATTCCATTAGTTGATCGTGGTAAGGGTGACCCTCGCAACATAATGGGTGTCATTGTAGACAGGAACGAGAATGACCTGTATCGTGTTGCTGTCAAGGCTGGGATTCTTAAGGGACACTATAGCAGAACTCAGTTCGACCTGTGCACCAATAAGCTGTTTAACATTGAGGACATGTCCAGGAATGTTGAAGTTGGTCTACGCCAGGCAGTACAGAGTGAATCTCGATGCGGTGGCCAGGGATATGCTAAATGCAACTGTGCAGCGAGTGGCAAGCAATGTCAGACCAACAGATGTAAATGTTTCAAGTCAGGCGTTAAATGCAACAGCAGGTGTCACTCCAGCACCACATGTCCAAACAAGAACGGGAGTCCTCCATGATATGTCAAGCATCCCATTCACAACTGTAACTGAAATCATACCTGATATGTGAATAAAACTATGAACATCTACATAACTGTTTGTTTTGTTTTAATGTTTTTGACCCATTAGTGAGAATAATTCATTTTAGTCAATCTGTCTAGAAATCCGCCTAAATTTCCAGTCAATCTACAGATTGACTGATTTTACACATTGACTGTAACATATATAAATACTTGATGTTTTACACATATGTCCATAATATCATATTCATTGTATTGGACGTTAAATCTGTAATAAAACAACAACAACATACATATATGTTATCATTTGCTTGATATACACGAGTGTATCATTGTCGGAACGTTGCATGTTAATAAAGCAGTAATTGTTATTCCATAAATAGTGTTAGTGTGTTACTGTTTAATTACTTAATGCCACTTAAAGAAGTTCGTCCTATATTTTAAGTGTATATGTTTTGTAGTTTAGGAGTGACTTACTAACCCATACTTCTCACCTTAAAGGAGCTAAATCGCTAATAATTGGGACCTAGAAATTGACCAAAATGGGTCGCACCGCATAAAATAATGTAATCTGATTGTATATAAACTGATTTACATTCAATTGTTTCCGTTTTGACTCTTAATTTCAAATCAGATATGTCCAGCGAAATACGGCCTGTGTCTCAACCCTATAGCAATTTCTAGCGTCTGGTTATTTCAGTCTATTGAGCAGGTTCTCCAGTTGAATATGTCTAGCCTCATTCTTTCTGGCCACTTGTTGCAAATGACGCTAAAACACACTATGGTACACGATTCGTGTACCAATGATAAAATGTTTATTTTGTCTTAAATATTGGATATCAGAAGCCTGTCTTTTCCTGGTAAGATCACAACATCATTGTTGATTTGAATTGACAAATAATTCTTATTTTCAACGTGTATGACTTTGGATGATATTGAGTTAGAGACTTAAGTACTTTAAAATGCGATTGCATTTCAAATGAGTTTGAATTTATTCTAATATTACACGTATATATGTCTTTGTCGCTTAGGAGGGACTTATGGAAGATTAGTTTTTTCGCAAACTAAATAAGTTGCCTTATTAAATAAAGTTTGTATTATTATTTTTATTATTATATTAATATGTGCTTTTAGAACCATTTTTGTCTATTGTTCAAAAAATAGAGCCATACGCCCTTAAGTTATCAATACGAGGGTTAAATAGAATCAGTAATGTATTTGATGCAGAGAAATTGTACGTGATAATCATCACAGCAGTTTTTCAACACCAACTTTCAGTCATTTCCTAGTTGTATTAAAATTGCAGTCGCCCAGCAAATCGTCACTACTGATCAGTAGTAATTGTAATGTTATAGTTTTGATTTTATTTATAATTTGATTTTGTATTCAAATTGAAACATTGTTTACAATAATAATACAATTGTGTCAAATGCCTAAGAGATAAATCATGTCTGTTTAAATCCAACTAATTTCATTCTCATAAACTCCGATTACAAAACTACATAAATAATTAAAAACAATTGCCATACTTGTTTTCAATTTGTAGAACTAACATGGCGATTGCCCACGGCGTACAAAACAGCATTTGATGATAAATATTCCTGATTATTAATGATTTTGTATATTGACGCCGCGGCCTTATCTAATCGATCATACACACATGCCTCTTATTTGCTATTACAAAACATATAAAACATTTCATTTTAAAACTTAGTACCAGATTGAAAATTAGACTAAGGGAAGGCTGTTGGAGGAATAACAGGTTTAGTAAATTGACAGAGCTAGATATATATAAACTGTAGATGTAAGTATATATTTCAAGCATTTTTATACGCCCACGTTTACATGTGGATGTAATACGTCGTTGCCAGTGTCCTCCCGTGTGTCAGTCCGTCCCTCCGTTCACATTTTTTTTATGGACCTGGTGGCCTATGCAAATTACGAAAACCTGGACTTCTCTGTTCCGATTCTTCGTCTCTTTTGCCCTGTGTAAAAAAAAAACCGAAAATTACAACCACGTAGATCCGCGAAGTCAGAGAGGTCTGAGTCTTTAATTATACGGCAATATGGTTAATTTCTGGCCAGTCTTCAAGTGCACTAAGATCTGTCTAGGAAGATAAAACTGAAGATTTATAACAATTTTTTGGGTGACAACTACAAGAATATTCTCTCTACATTTTCAAGCAAGTATAGTAACAATTGTAGTTATTTATTACAAAATTAACGTCCAGTACATTGTAATGATATTATCGATAGGTTGATTATTTAAGTTACGTAAAAGATCCCTTGACAGTTGGAATTCGATACAAGAGTAGGCCGGTAGTGCCGCTGTCCGGGCAAAATTTCCCTCATAGCACACTGTATGGCGTATGCCCGTCTTCATTGGCCCAGTTCGGAGCAAAACAGTAGGACGTTAAACCCCATTTCATTTCATTTCTATTTACATATGGGGGCGTAATATTAAAAAAAAAATAAAAACGGGTAAAAACAAACAAAAGAACGTTCTTGTATGTCAAAAAGTCACTTTAAAACAAGTGTTAAAAGTCGCTGTCGTCAGGAGATAGGGCGGGTCTTCTTCTCCCTTTGTCATAATAAAAACAAATTAAAACAGTGGATCTAGTTGATTGACGATTGGTGTCATCAGTGCGAATAGCAAAAAAGCCCTTGGGGAAACAGAATCCTCTTGTTTTAGGCGGTAAAAACCACATAGCTGGACCCATCGACTATTTCCAAATACAGTAGTTACAAAATTTAAATTTTTTAAACAGTTCACCACTTCAACGTTTAAAATCATACCTATTCTGCAGTCTATTAAAGTTTTCTTTGTTGTGGATGACTCTTCTTCCCAGATACACGTTACCCGAAAAGGGAAAGAAGACCCAGCAGCAACACAGAACAGATCAGTTTTAACATTTATAAAAAATAATACATGGCATCAAACTATATAGATTTATATGCACTGTCAATAAATGGTTGTATAGGGTTCCTATACTGTCTTACAACAATAGTTCCTTCCTGGGTAATTGTATTGTACATGTAGTTCCCTACCCTACCACAATGTTAATTAATTCTGATATTATTAGAGCATCCAAGTGTCTTAGTTGCCAACCATTTAATATTTCATGACTAGTCATGGTACTCTAACTTGACAGTTAATTCCCGATTTTTTTACGTATTTCAAGATCACTTCCTAAATCTTATGACCCATTCCGAGAGAACGGGGAGGGAGTACATTTTGGAGAGTATATTGCAATTTGGCATCTTCCAATAAATTTCTTACAGGGAATATTTTGTCTTCAAATTTATTGCACACACTGATAAAATGGGGCCGCATTCACACTAGTTTATAGTTATGGTCGGTTATTAAATCTTTAGTTATCAGTCTAGAAATTAACCCACACATTTTGCGCGGTGGGTGATTGACCCCCGTCTTTACAATTTGAATCTTAAAGTATTTCCTCCTTCCAAATCATTTTTCCATTCTGATTTAAGTTTAGTTTTAACAATGCTACTAAATTCCTGGACGCTATATTGTAAGTTTTCGGTCTCGCAGTGGTCGAGTCCGCTGCGTACAAGATTGTAGACCCATTTCCTACTATGCTGACATGGGATGATGAAAGTCAGTAAAGAGTTGTGGGTATTGTCTTTAATTCTGTGGATAGATGGAACACCCATCTTTTAACCATTTTGATATATTAACGTTAAATTCAGGCTGTTGACACCTAGCGCGGGTTTTGTTCGCGTGTGGATTGTGAGGTCAGTCCGTGTATATTTTCACATGAGAACCATTTTTCGTTCAAGAATTCCAGAGCCTTTGAGAGTATTGCGGATTTTCTTTGTTCTTAAAATTACTTAGGCTTGATAAGAAAATACCCTGTCAGTATAATCAGATATTGATCTAATCTTTGGTCTTTTCAGAAATCAGAATAGTTGATTCTCACGACTTAACATTTCTTTTAGATTTTTTTTCCTTGATGATTTTGTTCATCTAAATGTTGGAAAACTGACCCCGAGGTATTGTATCTTAGCCCAGTATCTCAATGTCAGTTCGAATGATATTTCACCTACTTTCTGCCATAATGAATATGTGGAATTCGCAAAGCTGTAATGGGTCACAATTTGAATAAGGATTTTGACGCTATGTATATATTAACGTGGAAATATTTTTATTTCTTTTGTAGTGATCCAGATCCAGTTTAGAATCATGGCTTTTAATACAACATTGAATCCTCTGGAAACCTTTGAAAGTTCATTCACCACAATGAATAATGCTAGTCTGGTGAATTCTACAGTAGATGACCAGTATTCAAACAACAGTAGTGTTGTCGGAAGTGTGGGCCTCATGACAAAAGTTACCGCAGATGCCATTCGATCGGTGATAAATTGTTATTTACTTCCACCAGTGGCCTTGTTAGGATTGATTGGTAACGTATTGAGCCTGATTATTCTTGGTGGCAAGAAAATGCGACAGTTCAGTACGAATATCGTTCTTGCTTATCTGGCCTTTATAGATACATTGTTACTGTTGATAGTATTTATGAGAAAGATACCGTGTCTTGTAGCTAAAGCTGATCCAATCACAGCTCAAAACATGGATTATGTAATGCTTAGTGCACCTGTAATATTGGAGCTCATAACCAGTCGTTTATCCAGTTTGTTGTCGTTGGTTATATGCTGTGAAAGATGTATTGCCGTTTTCACACCTCTGAAAGTGAAACTGTGGGTAACTCCCAAACGGATGATATTTTCTGTAGTAGCTGTTACAGTAATCGTAATCGGACTTGTTGCTGTGGACTTTGGTTTGGCGACAGTTAGTTTTTATTATGACAACACAAAGAACAGAACAATGGCGCGAATAACATATCAGCCATTGTATTTGGAGAACGAACAATTCTTTAATATTTACAACAACGTATTCCTAGCCGTCGTTTTGCGAATTTTGCCCATGTTTCTTATACCAATCCTGACTATAGCCATTATCACCCAGATGCGTCGAAGGATGAAATGGTTAAACGATGTCACCCATGCTACACAAAACTCAAACACAGAGAGCGACATTCAAGCAATGACCAAGATGTTGATGACTATTGTCACTATATACATCATATGCCTTCTTCCTGGAAGTATTTCCATTACTCTATCAATGATAGAGAGAAGATTCACAATACGTGGAGAATTTCGCAATACATATCGGGCAGTTAGTTCCATATCTTCGTTTCTTTCGGTTTTGAACTCATCGGCTAATTTTGTAGTTTACATAGTGATGAACAAAAAGTTTTCAGACATCCTTGTTGAGATGTTGTGTTGCTTTCGAAAGAAAAATAGAAGATATTATCATGGAAATGTTGAATCAAACGGAACAATAAGTAGCGCATTAAGTTCATAATACGTATCTCAATGACTTAAACGATAAGAATCGTGTATAATGAAATGAAATGGGGTTTAACGTCCTACTGTTCTGCTTCTATGCTGGGCTAATGAAGACGGGCATACGCCATACAGTGTGCTATGAGGGGAATTTTGCCCGGGCAGCGGCACTACGGCCTACTCTTATATAGAATTCCAACTGCCAAGGGATCTTTTACGTGCATTCCAATGTATACACGGGACCTCGGAGATGAATTGCGTATAATGCGTACATTAATATAAATGTGTTCTCATTCCGTTCTACTCCACTATACCCTGGGTTTCCACAATTTCAAATTATCTGTAGTATGTCCATTTACTGAATGATTTATGTAAATAATGTATACATTTCTAATTCATTTATATCTAATTGTATTATCAAAATCTGTAGTATTCTTTGCTGATTTCAAAATATGTATAACATCTATATGTTTGACTTTTGTTATTATTACTATTCGGTCTTTGCCTGAAATGTTTCATTCTGTTAAGTTTATTATTATTGAACTTATACTTGGCAATTAGATTCACAATTAAAATAAGACTGTCTGCGATATCACCTTAGGTGAAAACGGACGTTAAACACTAAGAAGAAGAACAACAACAACATTCACATATGCCTTCCCTATGTATCACGTGGACGTAAAACTCCGGGAACAAACGAACGATTCTCAATAAAACTCTTGAACCTACATATATAATATATATTAATATACTATTATATAATTTGTTGTTAATAAATACGCATGTAGAATAATATAGACTTCTCTCATTTAGGCTAACTCATAACCGTGTCCGATTAGAGTTACTTCCCTTTGCTAACTTCCTTTTCAATTAACGATTTATGGGATTGGTCGATAAAAATAGCACAATCATCAAGGGCGGATACTTCCATCCCCACCATAGATAAACCCAGGGGTTAGGGAAGTAGAACGGAATGAAACTACTGGGGATGCCGAGGATGAGGGTTGATATGTGAAAAGGAAGCGATTTTATATAAGCTGATAAAGCTTGTTATCGTATCCTATATTTATTATTAAGTTCGTGGGTTATTTCATATATCGACCTAAAGTAATATTTGTTTTGCATACCGACATCAATGTCCTAACTGATTTCACCTATAAGACAATGGTTTAGCCCATATCGTCTCTGATAAAATTAAGAAAACAAGTCGTAAGTTGCACGTGCATTACATTTTTAGTAACCACGTGTCACAAACTGGCATTCATTTTGTACAATCAATGTTGTCAAACGATTCGGATGCCGAACTGTTCCGAGCAAGTCAGTTTGTAGAAAATGTTGATGAAAAAGAAAACGTAGACTCTGACAAGGAGTTATTTAAAGGCTCAATACCACTCTTGTTGTAACTGAATAATATGTCCCAATCTTTATTCTGGTCAACAAATTGTACTATTTTACAATATTCGAATTAATTGATGATACTAATTTCATCTTAACACACCTAATTTAAAAAATTGGAAAAATTCAACTAAATGATTTGAAAAGCCTGACGTAAAGCTTTTCAAATGTGACTTGAATTTAAAAATATTTTTGAACCCTTTGGACAAGTAAAATAGGATTTAATGGATAATTTACACAACAGGTAGGACACTAACACATCTAGTACTTAGAATAAGGCTATTGTTTATTTTCTGGAGCTGTCAAGCCAGCAAGAGTGTTATTGTCCCTTTAAATCTAGTCAAAGTTCAGAATTTATGGAGAAAATATTAAAGGATTTAATGTACTCAGATATTCCGGATTGCGAGGGAGGTCTAAAAGAAGTATTACATCGGAACAGAATATAACACAGCTACATAACTTCAACAGGAACATATACTAAACAGAAACTAGAAAACGACAAGAACGCATCAAAGCCATTAAAAACGCAATGTCAAATTCAAAGTTTATTTACTGCAACAACTGTTAACAAATATCTGTGGATAATTTCATGATAGAATTCAATACAAATGCACAAAACTGATACCTCAGAGAACCATGAAACAAAGCAGGGGTCCGCTGAAGTCAATATCGGGTATGTCCACCCCGAGCTCTTACACATGCCTGAAGTCGCCTTGGCATGGACTGGCACAGATGTCTCACTACACGCTGTAGGATTGTTTGCCAATGATTTTGGAGTGCCTGTGCCAACTCTGCAACAGCTGCGATCTTGAGCAGCGGTTGTTACAGGTGGCGCTCCAGGTCGGGGTCGATCGGCAACTCTTCCAGTGGCGTGGAAGCGTTGTCTGAGGCGAGCAATGGTCGATGGGTGGACATTCAAGTGTCTTGCGACGGCGACCTGTAAAGCCCCCCGATCCGGCGTGGCATTTTTCCGAAGTGATGAATGTTGAAATTTTGATCTGTATTTAAAGGGCCAGAATGCACGCGCAAAACGTGAGGGACTGCTTAAAATCGTATAAAAAGACAAGTGTTGCGTTTGCGCGAACAAAGTTTATTACCGAGAACTGATATTGGGTTCAAACCCAGAACTCTACAAAAAGAGACCCATCACAACCTTCACCCATGTGCCATAAGGAAAGCCCAAGAAAACGTTTACCAGAAATATTTCAAGAATAGGCATTGCGCTTTTAATGGCTTTGAGTGCATGATGATAATTATAGATGTAAGCGCCTTAGAGGCAGATGTGTTTTATGTGCTCTGTGTATTTGAGTCTTTTTTTTTTATTGTGTTGCTTGTGTTGGGTCATTGTGATTTTTAGCATAGAACATACAGGAACACGTTACTACCAAACTTTTACTCTTTTGGGATATATTTTATAAGATATTTGCAAAACTGTATTTTATATTTTCTGATTGTATACAAAAGGGACAAATGATCACCTCAAGTTCTCAGTATAGGAGCAGAACAGTAGGACGTTAAATCCCATTTCATTTCAATTCTACTCACAAACAACCTTTAATCCACCCCAACTGATCAACAGTAATCATCATTCCCCTCGTGTTCGAAGTAGAGGGGTCAGAGGTGGAAGGCAATGGGATAGAAAGATCAAAGTGATTACAACTAACAGAACTAACCCATTCAAGGCACACAGGGAAGTAAATTTTCTAATCTTTACAAAATACCAACCAATAAACATATTGAAGAGAGAGAGAGAAATGGGGTTTAACGTCCACTCGACACAAACTAGGTCATTTCGGGACTAACATATGGTTTAATTTTATTTCAATAATTCGCTTGCGCGTAGGGGTCTTTAGCAGTGGGAGGAGAAACCCGAGGACCCGGAGAAAACCCACGAGGTTGGACAGGCGACCCTACTCCTTGTCACGTACAACCGGGGATTCGAAACCACGCCAGTCGACTCAATGACAGACGTTATGATACAGCGCGTGCACGCTAACCTTTCAGCCATCCAACCCCCCAACATATTGAAGAACTGCCATATAAACCCAAGATCTCAGATTCCATTGTGTTTACTTAATGCACAATCTGTGAAAACAAAACTGATGAATTGGTATATGATAATGGTATATTATCATATATGATAATGATCCTGACATTTTTATTTTAACTGAAACGTGGTTAAAGTCAACAGATAACTTTGTAATAAACCAACTCATCCCTGAAAATTACGTTTTTTCACTTGCAAACAGAGAATGCAGGAATGGGGGTGGTATCGCCGTTGATTTTTTTAATTTGTTCACAACCAAAGTTGATACTATACGATCAGGTCTTGGAACAATGCCACTCGCTGACTCTCAGGATAGTAATAGTTACTCTGGCGTTACCATTTCGCTGTGGGTGCTCCGAAGTTATGGAATTCAATATCAAACGAAACCAAAAGCGCAAATTCTATTAAAGGTTTTTAACAAGTATCTCAAAACTGAACCTTTTTATCAAATATTCAACTGATTGAATACGTTTCTAGCTGTATTTGTGTCAGACTTTTACCCTGTGTACTAAATAATGTTCTCCATTTTTGTTTGTCTTTTATTTTATGGATTAATGTGTTGTGATTGATGTAATTTTATATTAGTTGTACTTATGTAAAGCGCCCGAGAGCAGCTTTGAGTGTATGATGATAATTAGAATTACAGACATTGCCTTAATACCTGATAATTACTTCGATTTTTAAATTAGAGACATGTCCATACAATTATGTTGATTGGCTTCTTGAACTACTGGAAAACATGTCATTATCTGCGATATTTATTGGATTGGAATCAGATCTGCTGTTCAACGCTCATTGATGATTAAATCAAACCAGTGGCTGCCAGGTAGGATACGCCCACATTTTGCAAGGGATGGGTAGAGAACAAGCTAAAACCAAAAATTATTTTTTGTTCAATCAGGGGTCATAATCTAGAAAGTTATGGTCTGAAATGTGCAAATATCAAAAGGGGCTGAGATTTTTGGAATATAAAGATATGCTTTAAGTTTTATCAAAATTGGATAAAAATTGTGACCTCTAGAGGGTCCATAACCTTTGTATTGCATACTTATACACAATTTGCGTACAAAGAGAGGCCATGTTGTCGGGCAGTTTCATTTCGATTTTCCCGAAATTCCAATTCAACCTTCATTATGGTGGAATGGTGATATATCTAAACGGTTTTTAAAATCGGAAAAAAAATTATGACCATTATAGAATATACAAGTTACCTTCGGATATGTGAGATTATCAAAAGGAACCAAGATCTTTATGATAAAAACATATATTTAAATCGGATTAAAATTGTGACCTCTACAGGGTCCACAACCTTGATATACCATATTTTTTTTTTTTAGACTATTCGCCATTTTGTCCTGCAATTTTGGTCCGATTTTCACGAAATTCGTAGACAACCTTTATTACGGTGTAACGGTGATATAATCAAACGGTTTTTAAAATCGGATAATTAAATTGTGACCTCCGGAGGGACCACAAGCTGA